ATTCCTTCTTTCTTTTTTTTTAGAAAGAGAGAGAGAGAGAGAGAGAGAGAGAGAGATAATGGTGGCTACCAACTTTCTATGTTTTCTGTAAAAAATTATTCTGGTGGTAGTTATGTTTATGTTTTAATCTATTAATCTTCATTCATTTAAACTTATTTTCTAAACCACTACAAATAAAAGATTTAAAAGTTCATATGCAATACCACTTTGTTTCAGCTCTATTGTGGTGAGGCATTTAAAATGCTGGAAAAATTATCAAAAATTCCGAAAGTTTTCGTTTTTAAATGACTACCACTGTATGAAATATTTTGCAAAAAGCGTAGTATGTGGCAAGCCAGTATATATAATATATATATATATATAGATAAATGAAAAACTAGAAACTAAACATTGATTTTAAGTAAATGTATGTACTTACATAAGTAATTTTATCTTAAAGAATTATTACGTGAGAAGTAGAGAACAAGAAAACTTTATCAGCAGTCCAAAATAATCTATCCATATCAAGTTGAAGACTCAATTCAATGATTTATCAGCAAGGAGGGAAAACGAAAAATTCTGACGAAATTGACTTATTAATCAAACTTTCATCGATACGTATTCTATGTTGTTTAATAATTTATACAAGTGACGCAAGAGTAAAGTGATTGCAGAATGCATTACTTAGTGTCAATACCGGCAATAATACTGTAAATTTAATTCAACATCGTCTCTCTTAATAGAATTGATTTTTTCAATAGAATTTTAATGTGTTCCCACGAATTATCAATTATTAGTTTTGAAAGAATATTTCTTCTATTTTATTTAAGCAAAAATAGATTATTAACAACCTGAAAATTATTTAAGAAATTAACTTTTTTCAATCAAAACAATTTAAGTACATCTTACAGATAATTTTGTTTATTTCAATTATCATTTTAATAATTAGTAGACTTAGCTTTTGATTCCTTTATTTTATTTTCAGACATTTAATTAACTGTGTCATTCGTTTATAAGTCACTGTGAGTCAAGATAGAAATTAGAAACTCAATTATTAATAACTTGAATATTATTGAAGAAATTAACTTTTTCCATACAAAGAAATTTTTGTATGTATTTCTTTATAGTAATTTTATTTATTTTAATATTTTATAGGCTTGGTTTTTGATTACTCTATTTACTTAATTTTAAAGAATTAATTAACTGTTTTATACGATTATAAGCCAAACAGGACAGAGAATCGAAACTAAATTGTAAATAGCCAGAATTTTAATGATTCATTAAGTTATGATTAAGTTATGTATTGCATAAAATTATTTTTTATTACTTTATTTACTTATTTTCAGATAATTAATTAACTGTTTTACACGTTTATAAGTCACTGCGAGAATTGTAGCTCAGTTGTTAAAAAATCTAAATATTATTGAAGAAATTAACTTTTTTCATTCAAAAAATTTATGTATTTCGTAAAACTAATTTTATTTTAATGTTTTGTAGGCTTAGTGTAGGCTTTTGATTACTTTGTTTACTTATTTTCAATTATTTAATTAACTGTTTTATATCAAGAGAGAGAATCTTAACTCTGAATGAGAATAACAAATTCTCATTTAATAGCAGGAAATATTTTTAACCAACCTCTCTGTCTTTTTAATGTAAATTTTTAAACAGCATTCAGAATTCATTTTTATTCAGAATTCGTTTCTGATATGTTCCATAAGCATAATGTAACATATCAAGCTATATTAAGAAAACAGTTCTTTATATATAAAAAAACAACTTTATTTCACAACAATAAATGCAGTAACAAAATTAAAAAATAAACCTCTAATTCCAAAAACAAAAACTATCTTCTCAAAAATCAACAGCTCGCTCAGATGTTCCATCAGCAAAAAAAAATTGCTCTTATATTTTATCTCGTTATATGTTTTGTTTCTTTTATTCATGCTTTTGTTAACCGGATATTTTGACTTTATAATGACACAAATGGCTACGGTGCTGGTTAATTAACACCAAAATTCTGCAGCATTTATTGAAGTTGATAAGACCGATATATGCTGAGAAACGTTTTAAAACTTTTCCTCAAAAAATAAACCCCTAATTATTACTAGTTACCCCTAGCATGTTAAAAAAAAAAATCAGATCCACCAATAAAATTGATTTTAACCACTACGTATTCACGAATCTTGTCAACAGTCCTAAGATGTTGTTTTTTTTTCTATTTTTCATAAACCTCATCAATTGTCCTCCATAGGTTAGCTACACAATAATAAGCTATTTTGAACAATTATTTATACAATGAGTATACAATAAAGAAAAGCATATCGGTGAATAAACCAACAGGATTAATTGTGAGTGAAATATCAGGTGAATCACTAATTTGTTGTATTACTCATTAAACAAATCGGTATACAATTAAAAAGAAATTCGTAAATCTATAACTAATTAACTACAGCAATTAATCTTTTAACATTAAGCTAACAATTTTTTGCTAAATTTATTTAAAACCCCCCTTTATTGACTGAGATGCTACTTTCAATAGCACAATATGACGTCTTATAAATTATTTTTATAAGAAGTCATATTATTACTATTTTCTAATAGCCATATAGTAAGAAATAGTTTTTTCACATTTTGGAAGTCACCAATATTCAATAAATTAATGAAAAAATGAAGAAAAAAATTGAAAATAAGTCTTCAAAAGTTTATTAGAAAATAAAAATTTTTTTATTGTATGTGTGTATAGTGAGTGACATTTTGTTCCCTGTGTATCTTAACATAGGTTTTTATTGAATTTAAAAGATTGATTGAGTTTAGAAATTAAAACATTTCATCAAATAATTGATTTTAAAATTAAGTAAACAAGTTTGAAAACCTGACCCCATTTTTATTCTTTTATCATACCACAAATAAAAATATAAATAAACAGGGGCACAGTGTGAAAAAAAGTGAACACCAGAAATAACATTTGATATAACGAGATGATTTCATGCTCTAGGATTCAATCTTTATATTTCAAAGGCCAAACCTGAAAGATGTTAATTAATTGGCAAGTCAATATTTTAAGTTACACAAAAGCACCTTCTCTTCAATGGATTTGGATTTCTGAACCTCAAAATATGGGGGATAGCAGCTATTTGGAAACTATGGTCCCAACAGTTTGGTTAGTAAAGCAGTTGAAAGTTTCAACTCCTTAATGTTAATTTCACTTCTTACATATTTTACCATACCTGGAGAATGTTTTAAGTAAATCAAAAAAAACTTGCGTACAATTGTAAAACTAGCTTGTCCAAAAATCTCTCAAAATTTTTTCTAAATATTTATTTATTTAATAATAGTAAAAAAATGGAATTTTAAAGCATATTAATTTTAAAATTATTTTAAAGAATATAATAGAAACATACAAAATTTGGACGAAATCAGCAGAATTAAATTATAAAAAAGTTTATATTTAAAATTTAATTTCTCAAAAATATTTGACCAAGATTGTCCAAATTTTAAACATTGCTATTTAAAGTTATATTCTTTAAAATGATATAAAAGATTGTAGATCTTACAAATCACACATTTTTCCGTTTATCTAAAAATAAAATAGTAAAAAAACAATAAATATTAAAAATGATTTTTTTGCATGGAATTATCTTTGGTTATGTTTTTCATCACCAATTATTTTCTTTTGTTCTGTGCACAGAAGATGATGTTCCATTATATCATCGAAACACTGGTTACTATCTTTACTATCACCAAAACAAAGTATTTATACTTCACAAGAAAGTTACACATAACTCTGCAAATTGCCAGTTTATGACAGGTTACAAATTAAAATGCAAGTAAAAGAGTTTTTATTTAATATATTACAAGGACAAATAAAGTTACATAATAAAAATTTGTTACAATACCAATTTACATAATTTTAAGTCCATGATACACAACCATAATATATTGAGTGTAATCTTGAACTAAATGGTAGTTTGCAGGCAGATAAAAGCCAGATCAAAAAAGTATGCCTCCTCCTCCATATTCCAGTCTCTAAAAATAAATTTAACTTATTAATTTAACCACAAATTTTTTTTAATAAAAATAGTATTACATTTTGCACAATTAAAAAAAATAATGAGAAAGAGTGTTGTACCTTGGACAATTTTAACTTTTTTATTTATTTATTTATTATTAAAGACCAGTAAAAAAAATCAAGAGATATTTTTTTCCATTTTTTGCCAATTTTGGTCAACGGGCTTCAGGTTCTGTATCCATCCTTACAATACACTATAGATAGAAATCTTATACTGTTGCCCCAAAGCAAAAAATAATAATTTCTCATTTTTTACTATTTTTGATTTTTCTCGCCATTACATAATTAATACTTATTAATAGGTATTACAACACAATTAAACAATTTGTGAATCCATGAATATTTTAACAGTGATTCAGCTGTTTACCAAAATCTTTATCTCAAAATTTAAATTTCTTGTGGTATAACCTTTTTTCTTAAGATGACAGAACAGAGGATTTGAAATATATTAAATGGCACCCTAAATTATGAAGTATCTATAATAATAAAAGAAAGTGTTTGAGTGCATCTTTCATAAAACTCTAGTCACATGACTGAAACGAGTTTCTAAGTATCTAAATAAGCTAAGTCAACAGGATTAAAAACAAATAATAGTTGTGCTACAAATTATAAGTATGTTAAAAAAATAGTGTAGATGTGGTAAGTCTGGACTATCACAGGTTAACTGAGATCAATTAACTGTAGAAAAAAAATAGAGAAAAGAATAACTCCAGACCCATTTGTGCTAAGAGCAAAAAATTTATGCCTATGATTCTAAAAATAGTTTAAAATGTTTTTATTAGTTTTAGAATTGTAGAAAGTTAAAACTGATTTTTTGTAATTTCAACACCATCTTTGTAAATAGAAATTTAGTACCTTCAAAGGAAGCATCTTAGAATTTTCCCCATTATAAACTCTTAACTTTTTCCTTCTAAGCAACTTTTTTAATTTTTGGACAAAATATTTTACAATCATTTAGCATTGCTTATTACTTGGTTTTAATAAATTAAATGTTTCAAACTCGTGACATATTTATTTTAATTATTTATTTATGATAAGAAAGTGCTTCAATTTCTTTTAATATGAATATTACTGATTTTCATTTAAATTAAAATGTTTTAGCTGCTTATTTCTACAATAATTTAAGCATGATAAAGCATTATCTTCATTAATTAAATAAAAATGTTATTTTTGAGATATATAAAGGTACATTAACAGTAGAAGAATGTTGAGGGTTGTACCTTTGATAATTTTATGTTGCAACACCATTTTTTTCCCTTTTTTTTTATAAAATTAGACAACAAACGTTTGGCAATAACAATGTCATAAGGAGAATGGTACGAATAATTAAAGTAATATAATATTAGTACAGAAATATAGCACTTAAGCACTAATTTTATTTTTTAAACATTTCACGCCATTTTCTAATAAAATTAGACAGCAAACATTTTAGAGTACCAATGTCATATTGGAAATGGTACACATAATTAAAATAATACAATGTATAGCACGTAAAATATTTCGTTTTAAGAAAAAGAAAAATAGTTTAGTTTATGTCTGTGCACATTTTGAAATGCTGAAAAAAAAGGCTAATTAAGTATTATAAATTAAACAAATATA